TGGTACTTCGTGTCCCCTTTCAGATCGCCCGGGACTTCAATCCAAACTGGATGAGTGCTGTTGAGATCTTGGACGATGACAACTTCTTGGGAGCAGAGAATGCCTTTAACCTGTTTGTGTGCCAGAAGGACAGGTGAGCTGGCTGTAAGGGGGATGCGGCAGCGTGCGATAGAAGGGACGGGGTGATGGTGCCTGCTGGTCTCGACATCGTGTTTGCAGAAGGGTGTATGTCAGGTAGGTGGCAGGAAATGTAGGAAGAAGCATGCTTGGCTGTGAGGAGCAAYGGGATGGGAGGTAGGGAGCTTGCCTTCATTCCTGGCACAGACTTGAGGAGGATGCTCTGGCTTTCAGTGCTGCCACAACGGATGAGGAGCGCCAGCACCTGCAAGAGGTGGGGCTGTCCCATCTGGGAGAGTTTGTCAATGTTTTCTGCCATGGATCTCTGGTCATGCAGAACCTGGGTGAGACATCTACGCCGACCCAGGGCTCGGTTCTCTTCGGCACAGTCAATGGCATGATTGGTAAGGATAAGGGGGCCTCAGCCCTAGTGGGAGGGTAACGGGTCCCCATCCCTGCTGCTGGGACCTGGGCTGGCGATGCCTTCTGTCTCCCTTCTTCTCTTCTCCACTCTAGTAACTCTGAGCCATAGGCCTTTCTGGAGAGCACGCTGTGGGCTCCCAGAGAAGGAATTGCCCAGCAGCCCTGCCTCTGCCGCAGCTGCCCTTCTGTGTGCAGAAACACTTCTTATTCTTGCTCCCCTTGAAAACCTAATTTGCTTTCTTGGAGAACCTCCAGGAACTGAAACTGCTCAGCCCTTTGCTGAAGCCTCTTTCCTCTCCTAGCCCTCTTGGGCACCAGCTTCTCCCGCAGCTCCCAGCTCAGCAGTCTGTGGGGAACTGCAGCCACGTGGCTCTAGGGTTCCCCGGGATGAGCCCTGACCCCTTGACACCCTTGTGCCCTTTGCAGGACTGGTGACCTCGCTGTCGGAAAGCTGGTACAACCTACTGCTGGAYATGCAGAACAGGCTCAATAAAGTCATCAAGAGCGTTGGCAAGATCGAGCACTCTTTATATCCTTCTGTGAATCAGCTGAGCCAGGGGCCGAGCTGGGGAGGCAGAGGTTTCTCTCTGCTCTGCTGGGGACATGCTGGGGTAAAGGGACATGAGCTGGAGGGGGCAGTGCCAGGTTTGCTGCACAGCCTGGGCTTTGTGCTTGTGCTTGGGGGAAGGTGCCCGTCACAGGTGGACTTACCAGGGTTGAGGGTAAAGCTGGCTTTGGGGAACTGCAGCTCTTGGGGTGCCACAGTCGCAGGAGCTGATTGTGCTCATGACCGTTTATACATGCAGTGAGATAAACTTCCCAAGACTTTCCTGGGTCTCTGAAGTTCCCAAGACTTTCCTGGGTCTCTGAAGTTCCCAAGACTTTCCTGCGTCTCTCCTCTGATAAAATGAAGCACAGACTGTCTTTCATGGGCAGCTACTGCGTATGCCCAGTGGGGCTTTGCAGACGTAGTCTGAGGCCGGTGTTAATGCGTTTAGCTCCTTGACTCTGGCACCTGGAGATCCTTTCACACTGAACGCAAGACGGAACCGGCCACAGGCTTCATTGATGGCGACTTGATTGAAAGTTTCTTGGACATCAGCAGGCCCAAGATGCAGGAGGTGGTGGCAAACCTGCAGGTGAGATGAGTAGGGGCTGAGGGTTGAGCTGAAGGGCTTGAGCCCTTCCAAGGTAGCAGCAGAGAACCTGCTCAGAAATCCTGGCTCCAGTGCATCCCCAAACATGTGTCCTATCCCGAGGTGACACTTTGGGAGTGTCCCTCTCCTGCTGCACCTCCTGCTCTTGTCATATTTTGACGCCTTTTCTCCTGTTGCAGATCGATGATGGCAGCGGCATGAAGAGGGAGGCCACTGTAGATGACCTGATAAAGATTGTGGAGGAGCTGACCCGCATCCATTAGCCGGATTCGGGATCGTTCCCTGGCACCTTCCTCCATGTAGACCAAGGGAGACTTTTTTTTTTTCCGGCCTGCAGCTGGGAGACCCCTGGCCAGCTACACTACCACTGGAGGCGGCRGTCCTTGCCCAAGGGGAAGCGGGGGAAGGAGTCTCTGGATGGGAGTCAACTTGTTAGAGATTCGGGGGGTGTCGCTGAGCGGGCACCGGGTCACTGCCTGCTGGGATTCGTGCGTCCTGCGGACCTCAGCTGCTGACCCACAACTGGTCTTCGCTCGTTGCTCTTGGGTAGCTGGTAGCGCTTGGCTGATGGGGTGCCCTTGCCTGGATTCACTCTTCACTGTTGTCTTTAGTTCTGTTTTGATTTTTTTTTTCTCTGTTTCGTTTTGATTCCCTGATTTGTTGTGTTTTTCGGAAGTGGAAGCAAAGCTGCCTGTGTGGTGCAGGTGAGGGCTGGAAGGAGTCATCTCTGGGGCTGGTAAGAAGTGTGGGGCAGAGGAGGAGGATGCCTCTCCGCCTGGGTTACAAAGCCGAGAGGGCAGAGCGTGCTTCCCTCTCCCTGCAGGCGCTGTGCCTCGCTCAGGGAGGGAAGCTCTGGCAAGCAAAATCAGTTGTTGGCTTCTGAGTTTTACCAAATAAAGTAGTCCACGAGGAGAGCTCTGTGTCTTGGCGTTCTGCTCCTCGGTTCGTCTGCAGGTGGGACGTTTGTTCAGYGCGCTGCCGGGGGGCAGCCGTGTCCCTGAGCTGCTCGAGGGAGCTCTCCTTCCCAAGCCAGGGTTACCCGCAGGAATTTCTGCTCTTGAAACGTTTCTGCCACTTTGCTCTGTGTGGGAGTGATTTGGGAACTGTAGATCTGATAGCACCTGATGGATGCATCAGAGGGCAGCACGTGTTTTTTCCTTTTTTTTTTTTTTATGGCTTTTCTTTGACTTGAAACTTTGAGTTTTGCCTCTTGGTGCTGCCCAGTGCAGATGGATTTGGCAGCAGTGCTGCTGAGCCTCCCTGGGAAGGTGAGGAGGGGAGTTTGCGTTTCAGAGCACAGAATCCAGAGGAATCTTGGACTGCACGTGCCCCCTTTGGAAGATTCACCTCTTTGCCGGCTCTTTCTTCCTTATAGCCCTCTCCGAGGCAGCGTTTCTCAGCAGCTGGTGGGAACAGCTTTCCTGTGGCCTTTGCACCAAGGTAGGAGAGGAGGAGATGACCCAGCAGTGCTCGCGTGCTTCCCAAACTCACGCTAACTAGGAAATACACGTCCTGTTCTCTCTTTTACAGGGAATATTTGCAAACAGCTCTCCCACTGCCTAGAGAGCCACAGTCAGGTCTCCTCTGTGTGCCAGGGGTTTAATACTTCCTCTTGAAGACAAGGTTATCACAGAAGAGATTTTTRAAGGGAGTTTCTGGCCATTTGCAGAGCTAGCAGTCTGTTCCCAGAGCCCTCGCAGGCTGCTGCGATGCTGTGTGGCCGCCCTGCCCAGGGGTTAGTACAGGACGGGACAGGATCCCTGTGTTTCCCAAGGGCCCGGAGGGCAGCTCAGCAGGCCCCTGTCCGGTGGGCAGGGTATAAATAGCCCTGGAGCTGGGAACCACAGGAATGGCAAGATCGGGTCGGTCTCCGGCTCCGTTCAGTCTGGTGTCCCGGCGAGAACTGAAGGGATGGGAGCCAGAACCCCCTGCCCTACCTCAGCCCCGGTCCTTCCCGCAGTTTCCTTTCAAGCCCCAGGCCCACTCCAGCTTTTAGTGTGTGTTCCTCTATGCCTGGGAGGCCAGGGCTCCGCAACGGGGCCCTTCGCTCTCCTCTCGCGGCCGCGTCTGTCCCCTCTCGTGGCTGCACGTTGCTGCTGGTCTCGCGGTGCAGCCATGAACTGGATGGAGCTGCGCCGATGAGGGGAAGCCTTGCCCTCCACTTCTCTGCCTCCTCTAGTGCTGGCAGGGAAGGGAGATCGCATCCCTCTCGCTGTTTCCCAGGGGAAGGTAGGACATGGAGTCCGTGTCGCTGCAGGCTCGCAGGGCCTAACTATCAGGCAAGCCCCGGTTTCTGCGAGGAATTTGTATAGAGAGGGCTATATTTGGACATGTCTCTGCCCGGAGAGCCGGTGTTTGGGCTTAGAAATGGACTGTGACCGTTTGCAACAAGCCTGCGTTTTGTGCTCGTGCTCGCTGCAAGCAGACAGGCTTCCTTTGGCTCCCACCTTCCGGGAGCAGCGCGCTCCCTCAGCCTCCTGCGGGATGTGGTCCTTCTCCCCAGCCTTTGCCAGGAGGATCCCAGAGAGCCAGAAGAGCCCTTTGGAGAGAAGAGCATTGGGGGCCACCTTGGAGGTGGACAGAGGTGCAGAGCTGCGCCGGGGCTGCAGGCAGCCGCTGCCTGCCCCGTCTCCCCGCGCTCGGATGCGAGCGAGCGGCGCCGGCCCTTTGCTCCCTCCCATCAATCATTACCCACGTGTGGCCTTCGCTGCGGCCCCTGGCCYGGGCAGGGAGCSGGACGCGGGGTCCTGCTGCCCCCCCGGGCACAGCTCCCGTGTCCCTGCCGGCATCAGGGCACTGGCGCCGAGCGGGGGGCCCGGCGCCTCGCTGCCCCCTTCCCCCCGGCCCCTTTATCTGCTGCAGGCTCCGCTTTGGTGGGTCCCGGCGCAGGGCCGGGCGAGCGGCCCAGTGCCGCCAGGAGGAGGAGGAGGGGTGGGGAGAGGCCAGGCCGGAGCCTTGCCAGATGTGGGAAAGGAGAGAAGGGGGATGTTTGTGCTGCTTTCCCCCGCAACGCCGCGCGGACGCCGCGGAGCCTCCCCGCTTGGGGCAGCCTCCCCACGCGGCGGCCGCTCCGCGATGCCTGGCGCCGCACGAGCATCCCCGGGAGCCGCGCGCCGCRCGCTCCGCTCCGCGGGCCCCTTCCCCGCTCTCCACCCCCCGCATTGTTCCCGGCGCAGCAGGCAGGAGGAGGAGCAGGGCCAAGGGCCAGCGCGCGGTAGGCGCCCGTGCCGCCGAGGCAGCAGGAAGGCAGGCAGGCAGGAAGGCAGGCGCTGGGAGCGTGCCACCGGCTCCAGCCGCCTGTCATGTTGGTCGAGCTGCTCTTCCAGGCTGCCTGTGTGTCCCTGGTCCTCCCCGGCGCCCAGGGCAGGGTGTACCCCGCGAGGAAGAAGCCGGCCAGCTTTGCTGTGGAGAGGTAGCCGGGTCCCCCCGCCGCCCCTGCCCCGCTCCCTTCCCTCTCTTTCTCTCCCCGCTGCACCTGGGCATCGCTGCCCGGGCAGCCTTGGCTCCCTCCACCTGTGCTCTCTGTCCTGGTGACCAGCCCTGGCGCTGAGGGGTCCCCGCGGGCTGGCGGGGGCCGCGAGCCCCCCCGTACCAGCCTCTCCCCGGGCCTTTGGTCCCCGCCGGGAGCGGGACGGCCTCAGCCTCTCGCCCCCGGCCAGGCGCCGCGCGGGGCCGCACGTTTGCTTCTCGAGCTTCGGCAGTGGATGTTGCCCCGGGTGGATGCTGTCGCCGGGCAGCGGGCAGTGCACCCTGCGTGAGTAAGGGCGCCCAGGTGGCGCGTCCTGAGGAGCAGGGTGTGTGTGGGGGGGGACCCTTTCCCACTCTAACCRCGGCTTCTCCTGGCTTTTTGCAGCACTCTGCCCCTTTGGCTGCGGCAGCGGCTTGTGCATCGCCCCTAACCTCTGCTCTTGCCCGGATGGCGAGCAAGGCATCACTTGCCCAGGTACCCCCCGCCCCTGGTTCCCTGCTGGCGCTCGCAGCTCCCACGCCGGCACGGGCACAGGGCCCTTTCTGGCYGGGCACATCGTTCCCGCGTGGGTGYGTGTGCGGGGCGGAGGCATGGCCCGGGGCAGCAAGCATGCACCGAGGGGCCCGCGCGGAGGCCTGGCTTGGGCAAGCTGCGGCGCCCTGGGGCTCGGGCTTGGCGCTGTGCTCCGCGTGCAGCGTGACGGTCATGGGCGAGGGAGCGAGCGCAGCCGGGGCTGAAGCAGCCCCGAACGCGGCAGCTCCTCTGTGCAGCGGCTCCGGGGGCCAAGGATGCTCGGAGCRGCGCCCTGCAGCCCGCGCGGTTGCGTTGCAGAGCCGCCCGGGACGTGCGGCGAGTACGGCTGCGACCTCTCCTGTAACCACGGCGGGTGCCAGGAGGTGGCCCGCGTCTGCCCCCTCGGCTTCTCCATGCAGGAGACGGCCAACGGCGTCCGCTGCACGGGTGAGCGGCGCGGGACCCTCGGGGGCGCGGGGGCACCGCTGGCGCCCCCGTCCCTCCAGCTCCTCACCCTTGCCCGCAGACATCGACGAGTGCCTGAGCGCCGCTTGCGAGGGGCTCTGCGTCAACACCGAGGGCGGCTTCGTGTGCGAGTGCGGCCCGGGCATGCAGCTCTCCGCCGACCGCCACAGCTGCCAGGGTGGGCGGCGAGGGGCCCGGGCAGCGCCGCGGGGCGCCCGCGCCGCCTCCTCACCCCGCGCCTCGGCCTTGCAGACACGGACGAGTGCCTGGCCACGCCGTGCCAGCACCGCTGCAGGAACAGCGTGGGCAGCTACCGCTGCTCCTGCCGCCCGGGCTATCACCTGCACGGCAACCGGCACTCGTGCGTGGGTGAGTGCCGCGCTCCAGCGGCCGCCGGCGCGGGACCCTCGTCCTGCCGCCCGTGCCGYAAAGCGCCGGGTGAAGCCAGCCGTGTGCGTGGTGCCCGGCGCTGTGCCGAGCGCGCTCGAGGCCGTTCCATGGGGCAAACCTTACGGGCTCRCGGTCCCCGTGTCTCCCAGATGTCAACGAGTGCCGGCGGCCGGGGGAGAGACGGGCCTGCCAGCACTCCTGCCACAACACGCCGGGCAGCTACGTGTGCTCCTGCCGCCCCGGGTACCGCCTCGGCGGGGACAGGGTGTCCTGCGAAGGTGAGCACCGCTTCCTGCGGGCTGGCGCGCGGGGCACAGCGGGCGCTGCGGTGCCTCTGAAGCGACGTCTCTCCTCTTCCCTCCTAGGGCTCCCCAAATCCATCCTGGCCCCGTCCCCCATCCTGCAGTCCCTGCAGCACCCGCCCACTCTCCTCCTGCTCCCTCCTGGCTCTGGGGGACCCCTCCTGGTCCCCAGGGGCTCCCCGTCTCCCCACCTGCCGGCTCCGGGCACCCAGGCACCTTCCTTCCCCGCTGCCCCCTCGCCCGCCGCGGACGTGTTGGTGCTGCGGACGGAGGGAGCTCCCGGCCCCGCCGCGCCGTCACCGGCGCCGCCAGCGCCTCGCTGCTGGCACCGGGGAGCCCCCCGGGCGCAGGGCGCGCGCTGGACGGAGCCCGGCTGCCGGAGCTGCGCCTGCCACGTGAGTGCCCCGGCTGCCCGGGCTGGCGGCCGCGCGGCCTCGCCGCTCAGCGCGGCCTCGCCGCTCAGCGCGCTCCTGCCCGTGCAGGCAGGGCGAGTGCTGTGCGAGCCCGTGAGCTGCCCCGCGGCCTGCTCCCACCCGCTGCCCGCCCCCGACGGCGGCTGCTGCCCCAGCTGCTCAGGTGAGCCGCACCGCCCGTGGCCCTGCGCTCCCGGCCGCGGCGCCTCCTCACCCGGCCCTGGGCCTCCCTTCCAGGCTGCCTGCACGACGGGGTGGCCCGGGCCGAGGGGGACGTCTTCTCGCTGCCCGACGGGAACTGCACGGTGTGCGTGTGCCTGGTGAGTCTGCGCCGGGCGCGCGGGCATCCCTGAGCAGCGCGTGGTGGTGACGCTGTGCGAGCGTTGGGGCTGGAACGGCACCCCGCAGCTCCCCTGGCCTCCGCCCCAGGCCTCTCTGAGGGTGCACGTGGGGTGGGCCARGCTGTGCTGCTGGGGTTTGTCCTGTGCTGCTGGGGTTTATCATGGGAAAGGGACAYGTCACCTACCTGCTTGGCCCTGTGGCCATGAAGTAATGGCCCCGGCGGCCCTGCTGTCTCCTCCTCAGGCTGGCAAYGTCTCCTGCATCTCCCCGGAGTGCCCTCCAGGCCCCTGCCCCAGCTCCTCCGCTGCTGATTGCTGCTCCTGCCAGCCAGGTGGGTCCTGCCACCCCACAGCACCCACAGGGCAGGAGGGCAGCCCAAAGGAAGTAGCTCTTCCAAGGATGGGAACTACGGATCCATGCTTTGCTCTCCATCCCCGGCTGATCCCAGCCCTGGCCTCACCCGCTGTCTCCTCCGCAGCAAAGTGCAACTTTCACGGCCGCACGTACGTGCACGGAGCCCGCTTCAGTCTGGATGGGGATGACTGCACCACCTGCGTCTGCCAGGTGGGTTCCTGGACCCACCGGCGTGGGTGTCCCGGGCAGGGCACGTGGGTCTGGCAGTCTCCTAGGGATGCTGCCGGACATGGGGTTTCCTGCCCTTCTCCTCCACGCTGCCGTGGGGATCTGGCCCTTCCCTGGGTCCCACCAGCGCCCTGCAGCAAAGGCCCTGCCCCGAGGGCTSAGCTGGGCTGCGGGCTCCGCAGCTGACGCGTCCTCATCTCCTCAGGGCGGTGAGGTGGAGTGCTCCTTCGCCCCGTGTCCCGCGCTCGACTGTCCTCAGCACGAGTGGCACCTGGGCCCCGGGCAGTGCTGCTTCGCCTGCCGGGACCCCCCGGCCCCCTCAGGTGAGCAGGGAGCTGCCCGAGGACAGGGTGTGGGGGGTCACCTGAGGATAAGGAGAATGGGAGGGGCTGCATGGGGGCAGGGAGGGTCTTTGGGGACAATGTGGGGCAGAGGGGGAAGCGGCAGCACGTGGGAGTTGCATGTGCCGTGCTGCACACGTGTGTGCCGTGCTGCACACGTGTGTGCCGTGCTGCACACGTGTGTGCCGTGCTGCACACGTGTGTGCCGTGCTGCACACGTGTGTGCCGTGCTGCACACGTGTGTGCCGTGCTGCACACGTGTGTGCCGTGCTGCACGTGTGCATTAGCAGGGCGCAGGGCTCGCCGTGGCCGCGCTCGTGCCCCCGCTCGGCCCTGCCGACCCTCTCCTCTGCCCGCCAGGTTGCTTCGTGGATGACAACGGCGTGGAGTTCCCCGTCGGACAGATCTGGTCTCCGGGCGATCCCTGTGAGTTATGCATCTGCCAGGTGAATGAGAACCTGCTCTGCTTCACTTCTCCTACCTGTCCCTGCCCCATGCATGGCTCCTGGTGCCAGCGCCCATYCCCTGCTGCACCCGTGGCTCCCTGGCATTGCGTGGCATGGGGAGGCTGCAGGGGTAGGGGTCTGGGAAGGAACGAGAGGATGTTTAGATACCAAAGCAAACCGCCTCTCTGTCTGCTTCCTTTGTTGCACCTGCTGCCTGCAGGCTCCCAGTACACACAGACCTTCCCTTGGGATGCCTGGSATGCTCGTGGTCCGTAGCCCACGTGTTCCCTGCTCCATCTGACCCGGGCACAGCGTTTGCCTCCTAGCAGGATGGCAGTCCCAGCACAGCAGCCTCTGTCACAGCTGCTGGCTGGCGACAGCGGGTCGCCAACACCGCTCCTTTCCCTGCCTGGTTCCAGGGAGCTCCCTGGCTTTGTGGGCCTTAAACACCTTGCCTTGTGGGCAGCATCTCCTCCTTCCCCGTGGAGGGATCCTGGCAGAGACGGCTGCACCCAACACTGAGGTCCAGCCAGCTCTGGAATGGAGCAGAGCAGGGGCAGGACGGGTGGCATGGTGCTGGCCCTAGGCTTCTGTCAAGTGTCTCTCTCTCTCGCAGGCAGATGGGTCCGTGAGCTGCAAGCGGACGGACTGCGTGGAGACGTGTCCCTACCCCATCCGGATCCCCGGGCAGTGCTGTCCCGACTGCTCAGCAGGTGACGGGGCCCGAGGGAGCCAGCGGGTGTGGGGTGGAGAGGTGGCGGCCGCMCACCCCTGTCACCTCTCTGAGCTCCTTCCACCAGCCTGGGGCAGCACTGGAGCCAGTGAGCCCGGGTTTCACTGGAGGAGTCTCTGGCAGCCCGGAGTCCCTGCTGAGCAACCTGGGGAACAGAAGCTCACTGTTTCCTCCCCACAGGCTGCACCTACATGGGAAGGATCTTTTACAACAACGAGACGTTCCCGTCTGTCCTGGACCCCTGTCTAAGCTGCATCTGCCTGGTGAGGGCTGCTTCTGGGGGTAGGCCTCCTAACAGCAGCAAAACCGTCGGCAGTGGCTGGGTTTGGCRGGTGGGCACTGTTCCCTGGGTGCTCTGGCCTCTATTTTGCAGGGGTAGCCTGGCACTGAAGTGTGCAAGTGTAGGGGAGCATCATCAGCACACAAATCACTGCTTGGTTTTTGCAAGTGTTAGCAAGTAAAAGCCTTGGCTTTGCATCCAGAGAAAGGACCCTTCCAGATCCTGTCCATTATTTTTCCCTCTGTTGCAGAGGGAAAAATAAAATCTTTTAGTGACTTGAAGTTGCCCCTGTTGCCCTGCCCGGGACCCACAGGCTGCCCTAGTCCTTGCTAACGCAGAGCCTCTGCGTGTGCCTCTGCCCTGCCTTGCAGCTGGGCTCCGTGGCCTGCTCGCCCGTGCACTGTGCCATCTTCTGCACGTACCCGTTCCACGCCGAAGGGGAATGCTGCCCCGTCTGCAAGGGTAAGAGCCGCGGCCCCCAGCCCCCCTGGGCTGCAGGCAACGGCTGGGCCCGCTCTCCCAGCCCGGCAGGGTGGTCGGAGGGATGAGCCGAGAGGCTGGATGCAGGGTCGGGGCAGCGGCGGGAGGAAGGCGCCGCGAGGCCGCCCGCCCCGCGGGCGCTCGCTCGGCTGCCCCGCGTCCTCTCCTCGCTCCCTGTAGATTGCAACTACGAGGGCAGGAAGGTGGTGAACGGCCAGACGTTCAGCCCCGAGGGTGAGCCCTGCACCCGCTGCACGTGCCAGGTGAGTGGGCGCTGCTGTGTATGGAGAGCTGCCGGCCCCAGGGCTGTGCGTGGGGCAGGGGCTCCAGCTGGGGGACCAGAGACCTTCCCTTGCCCGGCGTGGGGCTGGGTGCCGAGGCCGCGGGGAGCGTGGGGCGGGTGCTGCGGAGCGCTCTCACCCCGCGCCTTTGCCCTGGCCCTCAGCTGGGCGAGGTGAGCTGCGAGAAGAGGCTGTGTCCCCAGTCCTGCGYGGAGCCCGCGCTGCTCCCCGCTGCCTGCTGCCCGCCCTGCCAAGGTAACGGGGGTGCCGGCAGGCTCGGCGCGGCCGTGGCACTGCTGCGCCCTCGCTGTGCCCGTGCTCCGCGTGCGATGGGTGTTGCACAACCGGACTGCTGGSTGTACCCCGGGCCCTTGGGCGCCCAGCTCTGCTTGGCCCGCTGGGCGCGGGAGGCGGGGTGCTCACCAGAGGCGCCCCTCTGTGCCAGCAGCAGCTGCCCCGCTGGTGCCGCGGCTCCGTGACGCCTCCCCATCCGGCGAGGACGCCACCGCGCGTGCCCGCGCCGCGCTCCCCACGGGCTCCGCGCGCCGCCTGGCCCAGCTGCTGCTCCGCGCCAGCCCGCCCGCTCCGCACACTCGGCCCCCCGGCGCCGTGCCCACGGCGTCCCCTCCGCCCGCGCCGAGCCCCCCAGGGCAGCACGGGGGGCCGCTGGAGGCCCTCCCGCCCACGGCTGTCCCGGGCACTGCGGCTCCTGGGGGCAGCTCCAGCCCTGAGGTTCAGCAGCCTCCAGAGGAGGCTGAGGCCTCCGCTCTGCCTCCAGCTCACAGGGACCCTCCTGGGGGGCGCGCGGCTCTCTAGGGGCCTCCGTGGTGCATGTGCGTGGCGAGGAGGAGGAGGAGGGGGGCTGAAGGACCAGCAGGGCTGGCCTGAGAGGCTCCTGGGGGCGGGTGGGTGGCGGGGGCACCGAGGCGGGTGGGTGCACAGGGAGGGTGAGGGCACCTGCCCCCGTCCGCAGTGGGGCGGAYGGGGTGTGGAGCCCTTGGGTGCTGGGGTGCCCCTGCTCCCCACTGCACGTGTGGGGTGCCGAGGGGCAGGGCTGGCCCTGAATGCGCCCCCATGCTGGGTTCACACAACAGGGCACGGGGGGAGATGCCCCGGCCGGGGGGCGATGCCAGGGTGGGTGCCCCGTTGCGGCCCCCAGGGGCCATAGCCGGGCMCGGAGCTTCCCCCGGCCCACAGCAGGGCACGAGGGCAGGCTGGCGTTCCTCTCCCTGCGGGCCGAGCACGGGCCTGGCCCCCCTCGCAGCGTCAATAAAGCTGCCCTGCTGTTCATGCCCCGCGTCCTGCGCTCCGCGGGGACGGGCGCAGAGCCGGAGGGAGGGACGGACGGCGAGGCCGGAGCGAGGCCGGGCCTCGGCGGCCCTTTATTGCGCGGGCGCGCTCACAGGGCGGGCGCCAGCCCCACCATGTTGTTGGCCCTGTCGAAGACGCTGTAGTAGCGGCGCAGGAAGACGTCCCCGAGGATCCAGAGGTCTCCGGCCGCCGTGTGGAGGCTGAAGGCCGCAAAGCCGCTTGTGCAGGAGCCGTCCTTCAGCTGGCGGGGCCGGGGGGSCGGCAGTGAGCGCCCGGGCCGCGAGGACGGCACCGATGCGATGCCCTCCCAGCACCGATGTCTCCCAGTCCCTCTGTGCCGGCCATCCGCCGCTGTGCGGCTCCCTGGGCGGTGTGCAGGGTGGCACAGCGGCAGCCAGGCTCGCAGGGGTCCCTACCTGGCGGATGTAGGCCTGGGGTGGCAGCGGGAACGGGATGCCGTTGATGATGAAGATGATGTCGGGCAGGCGGCTGATGAAGTCGCAGTTCACCATGTACTGCGGGGTCGGGGGAGGCGACAGCCCTGCCTTAGGTTTGACCATTCCCCATCCGCCCACCCCGTCCTTGCCCTTCGCACGAACCGAGCCGTTCTTGGCCTGGGCAGCACCGAGCTCGTACTGGATGTTGCCGATGCCGGCGGGAGGTCCGGCCAGCAGCGAGGTGCCGCTGTCCACGATGCCCTGGCAGCCGTAGGGGCAGGCGATGGGGCGGCCGTACATGGTGATGCTGCGGGGAGAAGGGGCGTGCGTGCGGCGAGCGTCCTCATGGGGACCTGGCGGCACCGCGAGCTGGGCGGAGGGGTGCTACCTGTCCACTTTGACTTGCCAGTAGGTCTCTGAGGACAGAGGGATCCAGCTGAGGTTGCCGGAGAAATAGGTGTCGTCGATGCCCCCGAACATGACAAAGCTGCCGTTCTCGTTACTGGAGGGAGGCAAGAGGGAGAGAGCAAGGGCCACGGCAGTGACGGGGGCTGCTCTGCTGCCTGCCACAGCGGTGGCAAATAGCCCTTCCCCGGGGACTTCTGATGCCAGGACCAGGGGGCAAGGGRGAGCGGATGGAAGGGTGGTGCCCGCTGCGTCCCTGCAGAGCTGGTTGCTCTTCCTCTTCTGCAGGAGAGCGCCCTGTGCACAGAGCGGGCTCTATGGGCTCCAAGCCGGGAGCCTTGCTGGGGGGAAGGCTGRCAAGGCACGAGCTCAAAGCTGCTCTGGGAATGGGGCTGGATCAAAGCCAAGCTCTGCCCAGCAGTAACGGTTGCCCTGCCCGTTGTGTAGAGCGCTGGCTTTGCAGCGCCAGCCTCTCCAGGCTGCRCGAGGATTTGCCCGGGGCCAGCTTGGACTTACGGAGACAGGTAGATGGAGAAAAGATTCTGGGAGACCAAGCCTTGGCTCATCATGTTGTCAAAAACAGGGGTGGCGTTGGAGGAGGAGATGCTTGGGAAGGCCAGCCCCAGGAAGCCATCAAAGGGCATATAGTAGAGGAAGGAGCCGGGTTCAACCACGCTCAGCCCGAAGATCTGGTTGGACACCTGGATGTTGGCGACCTGGGTGGCASAGCGGGGAGGATGAGGCGTGTCTTGTGTGTCCCATGGAGGGAAAGAGACCTGGGCGGTGCTGGTGACTCCCTTCCTCAGCCTGCCCCGCTGCATCCCCCGGCGTTGCCTCTCCTTCCTCCCGCGCACTCACCCGCACCGTGTCGTAGGCCAGGTAGCCGACCATGCTGCCCGTGCCGTACCAGATGGAGATGCTGTCGGTGGTGCCGCGGTACGTGGAGGACAGGGCTGGGTTGTAGCGCCGGTGATCGGCTGCAAGGGCAAAAGCGGGGTGGCCTCAGCGAGCACTGGCTGATTTAGCGACGCTCTTTGGGGCAGCAGAGCAGATCCGCGTGGGCTGGAACACGGGGCAGCGCCAGGGGCTCGCGTCCCACTGGCCTTGCCCGGGCACCACCTACCACAGGCTTCGCTGGAGCAGCGTATCGAGGGCACCCACAGGTTGGAGGAGCCAGTGTCAAAGAGGACAGCGAACTCCTGCGCSGGGGTGCCGATGGCCACGGTGCCCACGTACTCCAGCTGCCGMAGGAGGACAGCGGGCGCCTTAGACCTGCCGCGCTGCAGCGCTAGGCCCAGCCTTGCTGGTCCAAAGCGTGCCCAAGGGGCCCGTGCACGCAGTGCCCCTGCCCGCCACCACCCCYGGTGCCAGCTGGAGGCCGCCGTGGCCCCGGCTCCGCTCTCACTCACGTCCATGTAGTTGGCCAGGGGCTCAGAGGCGGCTGCGGTGGGGAAGTACTTGGCAGCCAGCGACGGTGGGTGTTTGCTCAGGAAGTCTTGCAGCAAGCCACGTTCCGAGAGGGCTTCTCTCATGGACTTGGTCTTCCTCAGCTTCAACCTGAGATAGAAAGCTGCAGTTAAAGACAGGGCAGATACATGTCTCCAGGAGCCGAGAACTTGCTTTTCCCTGCTGCTGGTCGGAGTTTTTCAGGGGGCTGATGTGCAAAATTCATGGAAGAAGGGTTTTTTTTTTCCCAGGAAATTAGGAAACAAACAAAATGCCCCAAAGCCCAGATTCGTGCCCCCGAGGAGCCACGGCTTGGACTTAGCCGGATGACCTGCATGAAGAAGGTGCTCAGGACAAGCGTGTGACAGCACAGCGCTGCCCGCAGCRCCGTCCATCCCCACTGTGCCAGGAGGGAAGATGGGGCAGGGATGACCCACCCCGCGCCCTGCGCTCGAGCTGCAGCTGAGCTGGCCATGGGCCAGGCCCCCCGCGTGCCCCCCGCCCCACGCGGCGCCTTCCCGCCCCACTCACTTGCCCACCAGGCCCCGGGCGACGGCCACCAGCGCCAGGGCCAAGAGCCACCTCATGGCGACGTCTCGCGCTGGTGCGTGCGGATGGACTGTGCCGGCGGCGCGGCCCTTCTGTGGGCGCCCCGGGCACCCGGATGAGGAGTGCCGATGGCCACGATAGCGCTTGCCTGGGCGCCCCGGCTCTGCCCCGCGCGGTGGAGGCCCCGGGCGGCAGCAGGAGCTGTTGGCACAGGCGCGTGGGAGGCGCTGGGCCCGCCGCGTGGGGCTGGGCTGCCTTGGCCGCGGTCACTTGCCCAGCACGGGGYGGGCAAAGGGGCTCGGGGCGCCAGGCTGCAGGTGGGCAGCCGCGTCGTGGGGGTTCCTGGGCCGGCTTTGCGGCCAAGGGGYTGGTGGTGGGAGCCGGCAGGAGCCTGGGGACCCCATGTGCTGGCTGTGGGTCGGAGCCGGCCCCGGCCCCGGCGTGCACGCGCTGCCGCGGGGACCCTTGCCCACGCTGGCGGGCGGACCCTGCTCCGCGCTGGTGGACTTTGTGAGCGGCCGGCCTGTGTGCCAGGAACAAACACGGCGCGGGCCCTATCAGCTCCGCCGCGGCGTTTGCTTTGCGCGGGGCTCTATCRGGCGCGATAAGCGAGGGGTGGGCAGCAGCCGGCACCGCCGCTGCGGGAGGGCAGTGACCTCCCGGGGGAGAGGCCGCGCTGAGCGCGCGGGCTGGCTGCAGAACCTTCTCCCTTTGCTGCTGGGCGGCGCAGCGCGGCGCGGCGGGCGGCTTGGAGAGCGAGAACACGGAGTTATCCCTCTGCTCTCCTCCTCTCCTCCTGCCCGGGATGCCCCACGGCAATATCCCCAACCAGCACAAAGCTCCCGCTGTCACTGCTAGGGAAGGCAAACATGTTCTCCCTGCTCCAGTCCACAGCGGGAGGCTGCGCAGGGCAGGGCCCCCGGACTAGGAAGCCTCCCTTTGTCCTGCCTGTATCTATCGGGGTAACCCCGACTGGGTTGCCCTGGTCAGTGGACTGATTTGCTGGACTCCTGCAGCAGGACCTGCCCAGGAGACTCCACACGTCCAGGTTGTTCCCCTGGGGCCGTGCGTCAGCCCTGTTGCAGGGGCTGGTGCCCACCTTGAGCCCCAGGAGGGACGGGTACATCTCCAAGAAGYCCTCCTGCAAGCTGCCGTCTGCCCGCATCTACCACAGGGGTGGCCGCCTCTGCGTGGGATCCGTGGACACGGGGACAGGAGCTGTCCCTCACCCCCCAGAGCCACCACGGGAGCCCGGGGGCTGGCTCCCCGAGCCCCAGGACACCGCTGGGCTTTGCTGCCTCTTGGTCAGGCCCCGACCTGCTCTCTGCTCGCCCAGATCCACGTTGCCCCTTGATGTGTCACTTGCAGCTCAGCCTCCTCCGCGTGCCAGGACCCCCGCGGGCTCCGTGCGGAAGCCTCAGCCCTCCCTCCTTCCCGTTCTGACCAAGGCTTGCCCTTCAGCCGGGGAAGCACAACCCGTGTTGGTCAGTCACGCAGGACAACCCAAACGACCRCCCTATGTCCCTGTGTTAGGGACAACCCAAGAATATGTTGGCAGCGCCGGAGCAGGCTGGACCGGCCCTCCCCAGGGAGACACGGACATACTGGTGCTCTTAGTGGTGCTTTATTGTGTCGGATGCCGGGCCGGGAGCAGCCCAGCTTTCCCCCGAGACAGGCTGCCGACTGCACGGTGCTGCTGTGCTCAGGACAGAGGGGACAGGCCTACCCTGTTGCTGGCCCTGTCGAAGATCACGTAGTACTCGTGGATGAAGATGTCGCCGAGGATCCAGAGCTCACCGGACTCGGAGGGCATGTTCATGCCTTCGAAGGCAAGGCTGCAAGACCCTTCGCTCTGCAGACGAGAGCAAGGAGCCCAGTGGTTATGGGTGCTTTGATTGCCCTAGCCCTCGAGCTGAGCTGATGGGCAAGAGCGGCTGGTAAGAGTTATGCAGAGAGGGAACCCTAAACATGAGGRCTTGAGGGCCTCCCAACCCACCTTTCCCCCAGGGAGGGATTATTCACCACCTGGCTTGTGTGGAGGGTSCGAGGGGTACACACCCCAAGCTCCTTGCCATGCAAGGATGCTCACCTGCAAGATGTAGCTGCTGGCAGGCACGGGGAAGGAGTAGCCGTTGAGGTTGAAGACAATGTCGGGCAGGCTGCTGATGCTGCTGCAGCTGATCTGTGGGGAAGAGGGAGCAGGCAGGGATCAGCGGCTGGGCAGGCGAGCCAGGAGCCGCCACAAAAGTCCCAGGGAGAGAGGAGGACCAGGGAACCATGGAGTTGCCCCCGGTGTTTAGCTGCATTTCTGCCCTGGAGAAGGGCTTTCAGCTCGGAAGGGCTTTCAAGCAGATTGGATCTGGCCTTTAGAGGGAGACAGAGCCCCTGACTTGGTTCTGGTAGCTCTGCATGCGGCACGAGCCCTTCCCGGGACATAATGAGGCTGGCTCTGCAGCACGAGCCTTGCTGGACATGAAGTTCCCCCACACTTCATGCCTGCTCCCCTGGGCTCTCACCTCGCCGTTGGAGTCGGCACCGAGGGCGTACTGGATGTTAGCCACGGCGTCGCTGGGACCAGTCAAGAGAGAGGTGCCCGTGTCAATGATGGCCTGGCAGCTGAATGCACACGCAAGGGTCTCCCCGCTCATGGTGACGCTGGAGCAGAGGGRCAAGAATGGGCATCGTGGTGCCAGGAGCCACCAAGGAGCAGAGGGCTGTGCCTTCATGCCCACGTGCCCCTTTCCCAGCTCTGCTGCGGCGGGTTTACYTGTCCATGGTGATTTGCCAGTAGGTTTCGGCAGAGAGAGGGATCCAGGTGATGCCTCCAGAGGTGAAAGAGTAGTCAATGCCACCAAACATGACAAAGCTGCCGCTCTGGTCATTGCTGTGAAAGAGAAGAAGACTCAGGCACCCGGGCAGAGCAGCTGTTACAAGGGGTGGTAGCAAATGCCCTGCGTGAAGCTGTGACTAGGCACAGTGTGACACCACCAAGGCACAGGAGCGTTTTGAACAAGGCCTGGGCTTGGGTCTTGCGCACAGCTGGGGCCCATTTAGTGTGAGAGGACTACAAAAACAAGGAGGTCTGGCCCTTTCTTACTTGCTCAGATACACAGAGAAGAGGTCCTGGGTCACTAGGTCTTGGCTCATCATGTTGTCAAAGACAGGGGTGGCTCCAGAGGAAGAGATGCTGGGGAAGGCCAGACCCAAGATACCATCGAAGGGGGTGTAATAGAAGAAATCGCCAGGCTCAGTCTCACTCAAGCCAAAGATCTGGTTGCTGACCGTGATGCTCCCAACCTGGTCAGAGAGAGGGGGAGAAGGTGAGGTGCCTCGGTCTGCACTGGAAATGCCTGGTATCTCCCCTGTTGCAGGGCAAGGGGTTGAATTGTCTCTATCRTACTTCAACGGTATCATAGCCAAGGAACCCAGTCATGCTGCCGGTGCCATACTGGATGGAGAGAGAGTCGTTGGTGCTCTCAAAGGTGGAGGAGTCTGCTGGGTTGAAGAGGTCGTGGTTGGCTGCGGACAGAGGACAGAGACAGTCACAACCTGGCTGCGTTGTGGCCACGGGGGCCGAGGAGAAGGTGACAGTGCTGCAAGGTGCAGGGTGTGGGGAAGGGGTCTCTCCCCGGGCCGCGGCGCCGCCGGACACGTACTGCAGGCCTCGCTGGAGCAGTACACTGAGGGCACCCACAGGTTGGAGGAGCCGGTGTCGAAGAGGACGGTGAAATCCTGCGCCGGGGTGCCGATGGAGATGGTGCCATAATACTCCATCTGTGAAAGCAGGACGGATAAGGCGTTGGTGAGCAGGCGGGCTGCCCAGGCTGCACCGGCCCCCGCGCTGCCGCCCTTCCGCTCTACTCACATCCATGTAGTTTGTCAGAGGCTCAGAGGTGACCGTGGCCAGGGAGGGGAAGTACTTGCTGGCCGGGTTGTAAGGGTTGTGCTTCAGGTAGTGCTCCAGCAGGCCATGTTCCTTGAGGGCCTTCCGCAGGGACTTGCCTTTCCTCAGGGAGATCCTGCATGGCGAGGAGCGAGAGAGGAGCTTCTCAGCAATGAAGAGCAGCTACCAGCCCCGGGCTGGAGGGCTGCGCAGTCCTTCGTGCCAGGGAAGGGACTGTCCCCCAGGSCTGGGTGGCCTCTCTGCCCCAGGGAGCAGTGGGTCTGAGCTCTGCAATGCCCTTATGTGARTCCGGGGATGTCTCTTGCAGCGGTCCCCGAAATGCCTGGTGTGGGATCCATGGGGCCACCCCGCCCTTGGGGAGCCAGGGGCACTGCCCTGGCTCAGAAGACCTCAAGGAGATGAGAGAGGCCGGACTCTGGGGTGCCCCGTTGCAGCGTGACCGTGCTCTTGCAAGCCACCCCGATACTCACTTGGACACATGGCACTGGGAGAGAGCCACCAGGCTGAGAAGGAGGAGCAGCTTCATCATGTCTCCTCACGCTCGAGCGCCGGAGCGAGGAGAAAGAGATGCTGAATGCGGAGCAACAAGCATGTCCCACTCCTTATATACTCAGCGCACCAAGCCACTCTTGTTTGGTCAGTATCCCTGATAAGAAAAGCAAACTGCTCCAGYGGGACTTATCACTATGTCCTTAAAGGAGATGTGAAGGAATATCAAGATAACAGATTTCCATCTCCACTGCCTTTGCGCTAGGGAAACACCTCAGCAAGGGGTTGCCCCTGACAGCTGCAGCTTGGAGAAGCAAAGTCTTCCAGCTGTGATGGGAAGGGGCTTGCAGGAGCAGGCTGGGATGCAGAGCCTTTCTGGTGGGCTGCCCGTCTTTACGTGCCTGTAATGCACAGGAGCAGGCAGTGTGGGCAAGGACCCCTCTGCTGAGCACTGCCGACAAGCCCTCCTCTTGGACTTGATGATCTTGAAGCTGAGATCTTGGAGATCTTGATGATCTCCAACATAACGTCCCCGTGATTCTGCAGAGCGCCGGGGAGCCTCATCTCCCAGGAGAGCAGTGACYGTGGAGTGGGGCCGGGTGCTTGCCAGTGTTGATGCTGCTAAATGGGGAAGGGAGGTCATGGGTTTGGGGACCCATGGGTGATGGGGACAAGCTGGGAACCAGCCTGCAGGGGC